AGGGGCAGGAGGAGGAGGAGGAGGAGCAGGAGAAGGAGGGGGAGGAGGAGGAGGAGGAGGAGGAGGAGGAGGAGGAGGAGGAGGAGGAGGAAGGCGGAATAGGAGGAGGAGGACGAATAATAATAATAATACCACGAATAATAATATTACGAATATTAAGAGTAATACTGATACGAATGATGATAATACCAATAATAGTATGAAGACTAAGACGAACACTATAAACAATACGACGAAGAACACGAAGAGGACGCATCATATTACGAAGACGCATCATAACACTAATAAGAATAATCATGCGAATAATACTACTACGACGAATACTAAGAATACTAATCATACTAAGAAGCAAAATGTAATAATCATGTTGCGAATGGCAATACGAGTAATCATAATACGAATAAGAAGACTAAGCCGAACACACATACATCATATTCAGACTGGTACGAATAAGAATATTGATGCTACGACAAAGGTGAACACGAATATTAATAATAATAACAATAATAATACTAATAACAATAACAATAATAATAATACTAATATTATTAATAATACTTATAATAATAATAATCATAGTAATAATAATAATAACAATAATAATAACAATAATAATAATATTAATCATAATAATAATAATCATAATAATAATACTACTACTAATAATAATAATGACAATCAGAGTAATAATAAGAGGAACACTGCGAAGACTAATAATCATAATAATAATTCTAATGACACTAAGACGAAGCATACGACTAATAATACTAAGAAGACTAATACGGAGGAGAAGGCGAATCTGACTACTCATAAGAAGACGACGACGGATAATACTAATAGTAATATTATTGCGCTGGCCTTACGGCCTGTGCCGCCGACCCTGGAGTCATCGGCTCTCGAGGGAAACGGGCGGGAGAGGGCGGGGAGGAGGAGGAGACGGAGGAGTGAAGGAGGAGGAACAGGTGGGAGGAGGAGCAAGAGGAGCATGAAGATGCGGAGGAGAAATGGACAAGGTAGAGAAGGGGGAGCAGGAGTTAATGGATGGAGCAGGCAGGGACGACGAACACGTGGGGGAGGACCAGTGAAAGCTGTTAGAGAGGGGTGAAGAAGCAGGCACGGATGATGTGGGAGGAGGTTTTCGGGAGCAGCTCTCGTTTCAGGGGGCTACAACACTGGGGGCAGACAGTTCATGACATTTGTGAGTGCCTGGGGTCGCAGGAGGTGCGACGGCGTCGTCGTCGTCGTTGTCGTCGTCGTCCGTCGTTGCCGTCGTCGTCGTCGTTGTCGCACTCGTCGTCGTCGTCCTAGGCGTCGTCGTCGGCACGAGCATCCCAAGGACAGAATTTGACACGAGAGTGGCGTGTTGAATCCTGTCCTCGTGTCGGCGTCGTTGTCCGTCGTCGCCGTCGCACCGTCGTCGTCGTTGTTGTCGTCGGCACAAGGACCCCAAGGACAGGATTTCACACGAGAGTGGCGTGTTACATTCTGTCCTCATGTCGTCGTTGTCGTCGTCCGTCGTCGACGTCGTCGTCGTCGTCGCACCCGTCGTCGTCGTCCTTGGCCTTGGCGTCGGCACAAGGACCCCAAGGACAGAATTGAACACGAGAGTGGCGTGTTAAATCCTGTCCTCGTGTCGTCGTCCGTCGTCGTCGACGTCGACGTCGCACTCTTCGTCGTCGCCCTTGCCGTTATCGTTGTCGTCGTCGTCGTCGGCACAAGGACCCCAAGGACAGAATTTAACACCAGAGTGGCGTGTTAAAGTCTGTCATCGTGTCGTCGTTGGCGTCGGCGTCGACGTCGACGTCGTCGACGTCGCACCCTCGTCGTTGTCGTTGTCCTTGTCGTTGCCGTCGGCACCGGGGCCTCCAGGACAGAATTTAACACGAGAGTGGCGTGTTAAATTCTGTCCTCGTGTCGGCGTCGTCGTCGTCGTCGTCGGCGTCGGCACGAGGACCCCCAGGATAGAATTTAACACGAGAGTGGCGTGTTAACTTCTGTCCTCGTGTTGTCGTCGTCGTCCGCGTCGTCGGCACAAGGACCCCGAGGACAGACTATAACACGAGAATGGCGTGTTAAATTCTGTCCTC